GGGGAAAGCACTACTATGTCACCTATCTCGTAGACTAGAAAACTACACTTGAGAGAGGTAAAAGGATTTGCCAAAGTCAACTGGAAAGTGGTCTGATCCTAAGATAGTACCCTTTCACCTATACTACCTTTATAGCCTAGAAACACACAGTTAATCCATTCTCTTTAGGGCGTTGATTTAAGCATGGATCATGATGTTACTGTTGTCTTTTCAAATCAGGTCATAATATTGCCCTTGATTCTGCTCCCGCTCTGGCCTAAGCGCCCTCTTCTCTCTCTCCTCCTCCTACCCCAGTGCACAGCGGATGCTAGAGCATTTCTATAATGTCATCTCTGAGTCTGATGAATCAAGAAATTACTGGATTATTTTGTGCAACATTATGATGGGGAATGCTGAAATGTTACACACCAAAACCAGAATTTGCAAGGATCATAAGTTGATAGCAAACTACTCTGGGATTCACAATCTATAAAAATGGAGGTATGGTGCTATAGGTCATGCTGTTCTCAATGGAAATATCAGCTGATTCCTGTACATTTTCTCTTTGTGAAAGCTGATTATCTTGATCTACTTTTGAACAAAATGCACATATTACGTTCTAATTTTACTATTTCTGTTTCCTAGCTCTTACTTTGAGTTTTCATGTAAATTTGAGAAATGTACAAGGAAACTGAGAAGCTGTTCTGGAATATAATAAATTGCTTTTCTAACACTTCACATGCTACCTTTTTCAGCAAGAAATGGTGAGAAATATGACTCAAAATTTAAACGACTCTGTTACTGAAAAAAAAAAAGAAAAGAAAGAAAAGAAACCAAAACCAAAGTTAAGGAAATGAAATGAAGACACATAAACTTTTCATAAATGGTGGTTATTCTTATCATTTAAAAATAATTCAAAACTATAGCAAAGTATTACAATCAATTTGGATGACCAATATTTTGAATAATTGAGTTGATGTTAAGTAATTATTTAAAAGATATCTCCAGAAACTTAAGAATATTCCTCTGTTCTAATATAAAACATCTTCTTTTTGGATTGAGGAGAAGATTGTAGAGCTTAGGAAACAATAGTTTCCATGAAAGTGAAATGGAGCTTCAGTATTCCTGAGGACCCATGTAGTGTGAGTTCATAATTCTTCCATGTACCCAAATCTTGTATCCTCAACATTAATAAGGAGGGACAAAGGAGCACTTTTATTTTCTAGTCCTAATTTCCTAACCAGCTGCCATTCCAAGCAGCACTGAGCAAATATAACTAAAGTTAGCAAACATTTCTAGAAACTCTCTGTGGAACAAACCAATTAGACTTAGCCAAGTGATGTAGAATTGCAAGGTCCATCAGTAATAGTGAGAAATACTACCGACTCTTATTTTTGTGGCATTCTATGAAAGAAGAAAAAGGAAACAATGTTGTTCAAGACATTTCAATGTTACAATTCAAGTCTACCCAAGAGGGTCTATTCAAAAAATATCAGAAGCTATGTTCATTCCGCTGAACAGGTGAGCTGCTTTACCATTGACCAGTTTGAAGATGTAGTTATGTGTCATTTAAAAACTGATGACAAAACAATATCAGCAACTTACATGTCTCCTCCCTCCTCTTCCTGACCCCTGGAAGCCACTCCAAAGAATGCCTTTCAAATGACATCCAATTTTTCTTGAGAAAACTTTTTAGTTACTGACAGGCACTCACACATCACAGCAGGAGACAGTTGGTTTCTGGCTTCAGTTAGATAACATCTTAGCCTGTGATCACAGACCACAATTTTGCAGACTTCCTCCCAATTCAATCATGAGTGCTGAAAAGAGAATGTGTAAATGCCTGTCTTCTTACTAAGGTTTATGCACAACCAGCTCCCTTGTATTCTCAAATATTTTACTCCTTAATTAAAATCCCCCAAATTATTTCATTCATATTACCTTCCTCTGGATTTTTTGCAGGATGTGGTCAGGGCAGTTGACTGTGGATCTGAAGAGGGATTTTAGCTTCGTCTTGTGATTTCTCAGTAACTGCTCTTAATAAAGTCCTCACCTGTCTTATATACCAGCAGAGTAATAAAAACTGCATGTTCCCACCTGCATCTAAGTCCAGGGATCAACAGTAAATTCCATCCAATGATTGAATGGTACTTTGTGTAATTACCATGACATCAATTTGATCTTATCTCGTTTCAGCCCTTCGATCATTTTTTGTTTTGAGCCATTTCCAGGTGGTGTTGACTGCAAGGTCAGCCTATGAAACAAGAGTACGCTGTTATTTTCTACATAATTTTATCAAGACTTATACACAACATCCTGAAAGTTGACACTTTCCTATAAACAGGATCCTACAAGCATTACATTTAATTAGCTAAGTACCTGATGTTTACTTAAAACAGAAGAGCTGTAAATTTCAGATGCTAGATATAGAGCATTTCTAAGCTTACAACATTACTCCAGTAGAAAACAGAAAAATAAAACACACACCTATTTAGACTTTTCTAAAATTAAATGTGCATCTGGCTTTAATAAGGATGCATGGAGAAGGCATGAGGCAATGCTGAGAAGGACTGATTGGTTCTCAATATTTGTGCCTTTCCCCTCCTCGTTTCACTTTTGTAAAACTCAGTTTCTTCCTAAACAGAAATTACATATGTTATGGCTTGCCAGCTGAGGAACGCTTAGCTCCAAGATTCCCAGTACATTGTCTTCCTAAAACCCACCAAGCACTTCAGGCTATGGCTGTGGCTGCGTCTATCCTGCTTTTAGGGTTGTGATCCTAAAATAGTTCAAGACTCCATTCGTTGAAGGAAGAGGGACCCCTTCCAGGGCCCAAGAGTGAGCACTTGTCTAACACTCAAAAATGAATTGTCCCAGGAGACACACATGCTGACAAGCAAGAGACTTTCCTGGAAAGGGGCACCCAGGCAGAGAGCAGCAGGGTAAGGGAGCCCATGAGAACTGCTCTGCCATGTGGCTCGCAGACTCAGGTTTTATGGTGATGGGGTTAGTTCCAGGTTGTCTCTGGCCAATCACTCTGACTCAAGGTCCTTCCTGATGGCACACGCATGGCTCAAGACTGATTTCAGCAAGAAGGGTTCTAGGAGGTTGGTAGGACAATGGACTGGCGTCTCCTCTCTCCTTTTGACCTTTTGTAACGGAGAAGAACAAAAATCTGACCCCATGTTGGATCTGTTTCTTTTACTTCAACCTTTGTTTTCCGTTGCTTTTGTTACTATAATCACCAAAAGGATACTGTCTATAGCTATAAGCATACATAATGGCATGCCTTGGGGAACGCTGCCACTCTGCCTGAATGTTAAACTAAAGTGCCTTTGTTCAGCTCACAGGGAAACATCCTGACCCTGCCCACCTGAGATCACACAACGGCTTAGGCCAAAATGGCTTCTCTTATGTCAAGAAAGCCATTCCTGGTTCTCTTTCTCTGGGGACTCCATAACTTATCTGCTTACACGATTGAAACAGGAGGGAAGGGGGCGGGGCACCACCCTTAAAAGAATGACCTAGGGCTTCCCTGGTGGCGCAGTGGTTGAGAGTCTGCCTGCCGATGCAGGGGACACGGGTTCGTGCCCTGGTCTGGGAAGATCCCACATGCCGCGGAGCGGCTAGGCCCGTGAGCCATGGCCACTGAGCCTGCGCGTCCGGAGCCTGTGCTCCGCAGTGGGAGAGGCCACAACAGTGAGAGGCCCGCATACCGCAAAAAAAAAAAATAAAAAAGAATGACTTAGTTTGAGGACACAACATAAACTGATTAGAACCAAGTAGGTGCAAGATGGCAGACGGATGAGTGGACTTCCACTAGACCTTGAGCCTCAGTATATGTTCATTGTAACACATCAGCAAGCTAAATGACACACCCACAGGAGCCATGACAGTTCCAAGTCTGACCATAAGGTCAAAGAGTGGGTGGTGACCCAATTCCTCGAAATCCCCACCCCTTCCCCAAAATAGTTGGAATACTCCTCCCACTTAGTAGCCTGTGAAATTACCCAGCCCTATAAAAACTGGCAACCCCATACCCTGGGGCTGCTCTTGCCTTCTGAGATGGCCCACACTCTGTCTGTGGAGTGTGTTTCTCTCTAAATAAATCCACTTCTTACCTATCACTTTGTCTCTCACTGAATTCTTTCTGCGATGAGACATCAAGAACCTGAGCTTCATTAAGTCCTGAGACCAGGTGTGTGATCTCAGTTAAAAGAACATGGGTTCAAGTCCCAGTGTGTGGGTTCAAGTCCCAGTTGGAGTTACACGGTTTCAGGATGACAAGGCCAATAGCCACCTTTACTAGGCAAAGTCCTGAAAGCATGTCGTGGTACAGAGGAGGTGTCAGGAACATCTTTGCATAGCGGTATGACACAGTGAAGTACATACCAGCTATGCTAAATGCATGGATTTTTCCTAATGACGTTTTGTCATTTACATACTGAATTCTTTTTCAACATAACCACCTTTGTAAATGTTTCATATGATTAGTTGATTTGTTTTATAAAACATAATTTGATGTTTCTGATAGCAAAGTATGATTATCACAAACATTATGCTGTAATCAGAAGAACAGCTGAGGTATGTAAAACGCTTGCTTTTTCAAGTAGCTTTTGCTTCATGTAATTCCAAATTCCAAATATAATTCCAAAGATATACTACGTGATTTTAAGTTTTGAAGCAATACAAGAGTATTTCCAATGAAAAGTAAGTCTTCCTCCTACCCCAAAATCCTCACTCCCATTCTCAAAGGTATCCATTTTTAACAATTTCTTAATGTTTCCAGAAATTATCTGTGTATATAAACACATTTTCTGGGGTTTTGCTATATACAAACAGAAACATAATATACACATTGTTTAGTGTCCTACCTTCCTTTTTCTTTTTAAATCTAACAGTGTATCTTGGTGGTTTTTTCCGTATCCATATATTATGCAGATCTAGCCATACTTTTAACATAGTACAGTAGCAGGAGTAGCCACACTGAAGCGGATGACAGGAGCCATAAGAATCTGTAGCTGGTCACGATGGGAAGCAAAGGAGGGTTCGTCCCGCTTGGGCTCCTGTTCATCCTGGCTGTCCTCTGCCATGTAGGTCACAGCCTGGAGTGCTACAGCAGTATTAACCCAGCTAATGGCTGCACTACGGTCGTCAGTTGTTCACATAATCAAGATACTTGTTTCATCGTTAAAGCCATGCCACCAAAAACTTACTACAGTGTTGGATGTTTGACCGCTGCAGTTTGGAAGCCATTGCAAAAGGCTTAGGGGAGAAGGAGCTTCAGTACCGCTGCTGCCAGGAGAACCTGTGTAACAAAAGTGATGGGACGAGTATATCAGGGAAAACAGCTCTGCTGGGCATCCTGCTGCTGGTGGCAGTCTGGCACTTTTGTCTCTAAATCAACACCAGGAGGGCTTCTCCTAAATCTCCTGTTTCTGTATATGCCTTATTTCCTGTGCGGCTGCATTCCAAAGGCTTTATATTTTCCAACTGGATCCTGTTGGGAAAGACTAAAACTAGCTTGAGCAACTCAGATAAGAGAGAGGAACTCAGAGAGATGCTGAGGACCAGTCCTATTAGCAGAGAAGACCTGTGTGAGGGAAAAAGTTTGAGTGAAGCGCATGTGATTTGAGGAAGGTTGCATGCTTCTTACTATGAGCTCGAGCAGATTCTCTGCGATCCTCAGTTATTTCCCTCTGGTTCCTTGGATGTAGTTAATGTGATCAGTACTTTTTTGGGAGACTGGGGCAGGGGCCTCCTTTTCAACAGTCTCTCTCACAAGGCATGCTTTTTTCTTGCTTTTCATGGCCCCTGTATTGCCAGGTAGGCATGATGCATGTTCCAGGTGTGGGCTTGTCAGGGACAGAGATTCTTAATGACTGTTGTATTCTCAGCTAGAAGGTGTCTGGCTGGGAAGGAGGTAAGCTTTCCGGATGGCAGGGCACGGAAGCACAAGGTTTGCCTTTAGAGAGGTGCCAGAGGCTGAAATCTGACTTTTCCTCTGTCCTTAAATTTTGTATTGGCTTTGCTGTCTTTCACTAGAAAAACTCAGTAGCATAAATTAATGGTGTGTTAAACCTGTCCCTCCCACTCCCCGTCTTTTTTATTGGAATGGTAGGCTGTCTTAGCTTTGTCACACCCAGTTAAAAACTAAACATTTGAATATTCTATGTTACATGTGACTTGCAGTTATTAAGTGTGCTTATTGTATTCTTTTTTTAACATCTTTATTGGGGTATAATTGCTTTACAATGGTGTGTTAGTTTCTGCTTTATAACAAAGTGAATCAGTTATACATATACATATGTTCTCATATCTCTTCCCTCTTGCGTCTCCCTCCCTCCCACCCTCTCTATCCCACCCCTCCAAGCGGTCACAAAGTACCGAGCTGATATCCCTGTGCTATGCTTATTTTAAATGCTACTGGTAGGAAAACTCTTCATATGTGTACGTATAATGCATGAATGGAACAGAAGGAGCCATTGGGGTTGCGATTTGAGATTTCCAAATGACATCATGAACAGTAACAAGTCTGCGGGGATGTGTTTTACCTGCCGACGTCCAGCCTGTTGGCTCCTAGCTGAGTCAGCACAGATAGTGTAAAGTACACTTGCAAGGGCTATTAACATGCTGAGGCTTTCAGAAGCGCTACCAGTTTCCTAAAAAGTGATATACCTTTTCAGGAGGGCAAAGGTTTGCCTTTTTCTTGTGGATACTGGTGAATAATTTAAGATCCAGTAGACTTAATGCCATTTGTATGCTTACAATCTTGGCTGTATTTGACAGCATAGCCCGCCTTTTGCTGATGAAAGTGGAATTTCTTGATTAACATTAAAAAAAAAAAACTTGATTATGTGATCTGTTGGACAAACCAGAATGAATCTCATCAAATGCAAAAAAAAAGAAAAAAAAAGTACAAAGTATTATGAATCATTAATTACTTAACCAGCCCTCTATTAATGATTATTTGGATTATATCCAGGTTTTTCCTACTATTACAAACAGTGCTCTAATTATCATCCTTGTTCTGGTTACGTGTACAATTATACTTCTAGGATACGCTTTTAGAAGTAGAATTGCTGGATCAGATTATGAATATTTTAAACTTGTATAGAGATTGTTCAAGCCCTCTTCTCCACACCCCCCAAAACTGATGTCATGAAATAAGTTAATTTTTGTGAAACAGGTGAAATAGAGTATCTTATTTTCATTTGCATTTATATAATTCTGAGCAAAGTTGGACATCACTTCATAAATTATAGGTCATTTATGGATTATTTGTCCATAACTGCCTCTTCAAAAATATTTCTCAAGTTGTTAATTTTATCTTTAATTTTAAGCTTAACTTTTGACTCTTTTATATTTTTTACCATACAATAATTCTTAGGTAGTCAAATATATCTATCTTTAACTTTTTGACTTGTTGGTTTTATGTCATGCCAATGATACTAAAAAGAAGTATTTGTATTTTATTCTAGGGTGTATACAGCTTTATTTATTTTCAATTTAGATCTTTAATTCATCTGTAATTTATCTGGGGTTGATGAGTGAAGTAGAAATCCAGCCTCTTTTTAAATCTAAACGACAAGCCAGTTATAATACCAGGTAGGGACTAATCAATCCTTTTTGTCTCGACTAATCTGAAATGCTCCTAAATATTTTGTGGTCTAGTTTTGGGTTCTCTATTATGATTCATATTAATAAAAAAAAGTTCAACAAATGATAATAAATGTTTTAAATTTGTTAAGATCATTAAGTATTAGATTTAATTATTTAGTGTCTATCAAGTGTATCAATCAAAGTGCATCACCAAAGAGAAATTATTGAGGTATAGTTGATTTACAATGCTGTGTTAGTTTCAAGTGTACAGCAAAGTGATTCAGTTATATATATATATATATATATATATATATATATATATATTCTTTTTCATATTCTTTTTCATTATAGGTTATTACAAGATATTGAATATAGTTTCCTGTGTTATACAGTACATCCTTGTGGTTTATCTATTTTTTATATAGTAGTTTGTATCTGTTAATCCCAAACTCCAAATTTATCCCTCCCCCCGCCGCTTTCCCCTGTGGGAACCATAGGTTTGTTTTCTATGTCTCTGAGTCTGTTTCTGCACAATACTGTAAAGCAACCATACTTCAATTTTTAAAAAATGATTACCACAGTGAATTTAGTTAACATCAAAAAAGAGAGAGAAATTAGACATAAATCATATCCTTAAATTGCTAACACTCTTGTCACTATAAATAGAAGTATTGGGATTTTCCCTCAACATTCTTTTTGACTCGTCATGAGATTACTAAAACGGAACTCGGATTTCCTAACCTCCACTCAACTCTTTAATGTTGTGTAGCTCTGTTTCTTGTAGTCTGTCCCGTGTTCCATCTAAATCAGATTTATCAGGCTGTTCGTTTAAAGACAGATTCTTAGGTCCCATCTGGGACCTACTGGATCAAAACCACTGTCAGATGAGCTGAGAAATTTGCATTTTACATACCAAAGCTTACAAACCATGACTGTGCAGCATTGTTTAGTAAGCCAGCAATGTAGTTAAGGAAGCAATACGGTGTGGTGTCATCTTCAGCTGCCCCTGCAGCACAACTAAATTGAAAATGGTAAAGTCATTTGTTCAGCTCTGTGAGCCTCTACTTCCCACAAACAGCTGGAACCCCCAGCACCAGGAATCTGAGATAAAGATAGCCCAAAGCACCGAACAACTATCCCGTGGTCACAGACACAAATGCAGGCAGCAGTTTCTCGGTTGAGATAAGGTTTTTAATCAGTAGCAGCAGGTAAGATGACTGACAGCTTGAAAGAACAACCTGAGACGTGATGTCTAACACACGTGGCGGCAGCTAACTCACCCCAGAAGTGATGGACAAGAAGCAGGCCGACTTGACACAGGCAAATCCACCAAGAATATTCTCTACTATTTCGGTCAAAGCAGCGTGGCCTAATCAGTAATGCAAACATCCTGTTTCCCAGGCTAACAACCTCTGTCCCTGGAACCCTCAGAGGGTTAGAGATAAAGAAACTGCTGCTCCAATTATGCATAATCTTCCTCTAGTCTGAAATGTCAACAGAGAAGGCAAATAACGCTGCAGAGAAAAGGAGGAAAATCTCACAGGGGAAAAGTAATTTGTTTAACGTTTTCCCATTTCCTTTTGTTTTGCACATGTCTCCTCCCACATCCATTTCAGAAAGCTTTCAGTTATGGGCTATCAACGAAAGGAGAAATCGGTTTTGTGCAAAAATCAAAAAAGAAGCAATTGTATTGATAGAGTGGTTTGCTTAGATTTATAGTGCAGTAGGAGAGAGAAAAATGAAGCCCGAGCGACTTCCTACCCTAATTTTGCAGAAGTCTTAGGAGACATTAGATGTGATATGGGTTTGCCTAAAGCATCTCTGTCCTAAAAGGCTTGGCTATTTTGCTGTGAGAGGTAAGGGTGCTACATTCAGAAAACTGTATTTTCTCTCTGTGTCTGTATAAATGGCCATGTGCAGCTTTAGAGACAGTGAAGAAATTGGTGGGAGGGAATCACAGCCGCTTTTATTAAGGAAAAAGGATTTCCTTTGCACGATGCTTTCAGTGTGGCTCAGAGGAGCCCCAGGAATCCTTCAAGAAGGAGAAGCCAGCAGTGCCGGCTGTCCTGGTCCAAAATCTTGGCTGCAGTTCAACGGCAAGTACGTTTAAGGGGCAAGAGGGAGACCTTGTCACAAACATTATCCTGACGCCCTCTCACCACATACCCAGCCATTCCCCACCCCGGAGCTCTAGCTGAACTGGAGGGTGGAAGGATTCTGTCTCAGCTCAGCGTGTAAATACTGCCTAAGCCTCACCTGGGCCGATTGAGCCCCAGTCGCTGTGCAGATGGTGGGAGACTGCCCCTCACCACCGATCCTAACTCTCCAGCCTGGAGAGGCAGCATGAATCAGCCACTACCCACCAGCCCTTCCCCACACCCACCTATTTCCTATACTCACACCTCCAGGAAAAATGTGCTGTCTGGGATTCGGGGGCCAAAGGGGAATAGGGTGTCAGGGCTCCCCCCAGTTCATTTCTCTCTATGCCTGAGCAGATTCCATAGCGAGTTGTTTTAACTTGCATCACTCTGTAAAACATTAAAGCTGGGTTTCGGGGGAAAAAAGGAGAAAGAGAAAGAAGAGGAAGAGTGGGATATAAAGAATTTGTATATACCTGAAAATTGCCAGATGAATAGACCACCATAAAATATTGCATGACGGTAGAGATGGCGGAAACCAGCACAGAGGGTGATGTCTAAAGTTCAGAGAACTGAGACAACACAATCGTTATTGAGTATGTGGCCCCCTCTCCCTACCCCCCAAATACTGTATTTTTTTTTTTTAGTTAATTTTGTTTTG